ACAACTGCTATTAAACATATTTATTACCATTTCAGATTTTCACACACACTTTAATATGTACGTATTAAAATACTACAGGAACTACCGTCACCTGATGGTAGAGACTGCTTACTTGAAAATATTAACTTCATACATATCAAAACGCATCATCCTCAAATGAACTGCAAAATGCCTTAAGTATGTTGAAGCGATAAAGATGGAGTTTATCATACTTTACAGCCATATAAAGACTCGCTAGCCAGCACAAAGATAACGGATTTATTTTACAATGAAAATGTGTTTTGATAGTTTGGAAGGCTAGTACACTATGTAGGGCACTTTCCAAAAGACTGAAGAGATGCTTTGGGTAAAAAGTAAGAAATGTATAAAAGAAAACTATCAGAAAGATTTTTTTAAAAAGAGTATTAGACAATCATCCTTTAAAAAAAAAGACTTTTAATATCAATTTCTTCTATCCAACCAAACTGACATGACTCAGGTATTTTTAAATATTTTAGAAACACTTCCTCAAAAATTTACAAGACAGTACCGTTCAGATGTTCCCTCAATACCTGGGTTGCTCAGACAAAGTAAATCTTACGAGAATTCACCACCAACCCCAAGTGTTTTCACACATACGCTTACTCTTCTTACCACCTTGAGCTTAGAAGTAGGCAGTCCTCCACAAATGTTCACTGAACTCAGCTACTGAAATTACAACAGCTAAAATATCAATATATCCATAACTCAACAGGCCTTTGGAAGACTGTGAGAAATCATAACACTGTCAGTTTATACAAGTATTCATAAACACATGAAAATGTTCTAGTTTACCCTACATGCCTCAGCCCTTTTGAATGCTATACAAAGAAGTAATTAAAAGGATAAACTTCCTGAGTAGTTCCATAAAATATGGATAATATTTAAAAATGAAAAGCAGTCTAAAAAGAGGCAAGCTAAACATTAGCTATACTGTGTTATTATATGGCATAGACTAATTTAGTAATTAATAGTCCCACATAACTGTTTTATTCAGGTTGCTGTCAGGCCTGCTTTTAAAATTAAGTCACTAAGGAGAAAACATTTTCAGTCGGTAGTTATATTTAAATCATCAATTTGACTTCTACCTTTTAAAGTCTATTAATTTAACAAAGATAGCCAAAAGTTGGTATTTGAGGAAAAGACTTTCGGTGCAGGTTATGAACAATGAAAGATCATTAAAAAGGCATGTAACAGAAGTATTTTCCATAAAAACAAAGACACCTCAAACACGTCCACTCATACCTCTAGTTTAGGTGAGAAACGAGGTCAATCTTGAAAAAAAAATCATATAATTTTAAACTTAGCACCAAGTCAGCTTGGCCTTTCTTCCCCCCAAGAATCAGGTTTTAGTGTACCTGAAGGAAATTAAGTATAAGTATATTGAAAAGATACTGGCTTCCAATAATACACAGGCATATTGATATATGGTATCAATATATTGATGTATAATCTAGTAGAGGAGTAACAACGGCCACTGATGCTAAGTGATAATTGTCATTACTCAAACGATTTCTAGGAGAAAAACTTGGTTGCCCCTTTCCTCAAACGAGGATACAATTTTCCTCGAAAACAAGATACAAAATTATAAATTCTGAAAGGTCCTATTTGTTAACCTCCTAAAAATAAGCAGTCACCTTTTAAAAGTATAAAGAGCTAAATATAACCCTTCCTTGTCTAAATGTTCATGTTCATGTACATGTTCACATGTAATCTAGTGCTTCCTTTATCTTCCAGAATCTCTGGAGATTTAACGTATGCTGAGAGGACCAACCAACAATGGTAATTTAAGCCAAGTAGAAACGTTTATGAAAATTCAGCACCGTTACTGAGGAAACATGCTGCTGAAGTATGGGGGTATAAAAAGAGCTTAGTTCCAAAAGGAAAATCTATCATTACAAAGGCAGCGGTCTCTTACATTCAAATGGCATCATGAGGATTAGTGATCATTGGTTCCTCTGAAATGAGATTTTTGACTCCAGCATTTATGTACGTGTTTATTTATACTTTATAGTGCAATGTGGCTCAATTAACTCACTGGTACATAAAAAATAAAAAGGGATGAAAAATCTAAATTGTATTAAATACAATTGAAGTAAAATAATGTGAAATGTCAAGGTAAGCTCTAGTACTAAAAAAAATGTACCTCTACATAGGCTCTAGAGCATCAGTTCTCAACCTCTTTTCTGACATGATAAATGCATGCCATATCCCAATGAATAAACCCGTATTCTGACCAAGCTTTTTTTTTTTTTTTTTAAAGATTTTATTTATTTATTTGACAGAGACACAGCGAGAGAGGGAACACAAGCAGGGGGAGTGGGTAAAGGAGAAGCAGGCTTCCCGCTGAGCAGGGAGCCTGAAGCGGGGCTTGATCCCAGGACCCCGTGATCATGACCTGAGCCAAAGGCAGACGCTTAACGACTGAGCCACCCAGGTGCCCCCTGACCAAGCTTTTCAAAAATTGGAAGGAAAATAAAGTATTACAGCAACCCAGACGGGACATAAACCTTAGGGGCGGAGCCGGATTACTCCGCACGCTGGGTTAGGGCGGAGGGTGCTGGTGCAGATGACACCCGCCCACCAGCTCCAGCCCCACACCTCGATCTCTCACGCAAGGATACTTATCAGAGCCCAAGTGAGTCAGTAACAATGGAATGCTAACCTGAAATTTTCTCTAATTCGTCTTTAAAAAGTAAATCAATCGCAAACAAAACACAAACGCTTTGTATGAGTAACAATGAACTTGCGACACTTCACAAAAAAACAGGAGAATATTATTAGTGTGTCAGTTACCTGTTAACAATCACTGTTCTATAGAATGTTATCGAGGCTTTAGAAAATAGAACCATGTTCCTTAGAGCGCAGGACTTTTTTTTTTTTTTTAAAGATTTTATTTATTTGACAGAGAGAGACACAGCGAGAGAGGGAACACAAGCAGGGGGAGTGGAAGAGGGAGAAGCAGGCTTCCCGCGGAGCAGGGAGCCCGATGTGGAGCTCAATCCGAGGACCCTGGGATCATGACCTGAGCCGAAGGCAGCCGCTTAACGACTGAGCCACCCAGGCGCCCCTGAGCGCGGGACTTCTATAAGGAATTTAAAACCTGCAGTTCAGACATTTATTAAGTTGATAATGAGGAAACTAATTCCGTTTATAGAAACTGGCGATCTTGGACATATTCCAATTCTCCGCCGGAAGCCTCTGTTGATCCCTCTCCGGTTTGTAAAATATATACCAACCATGGCTCTTTGAGATTACAAATAATCAGACAAGGTGTGTCACAGGAGAGCCAGATCTCACGGCTGATGTGAAGAGCTGGAAGACTGGCTTGCATAGAGGGACAGACTGAGGCATCAGGAGAGCTGTGGCTCACAGTGAAGTAAATGCTAAAAGAAACAAACTGCTGAAGGTTCCAGAACGCCAGACGAGGACAAACCGCCCATGCACTGCAACGGTCAACACCAGGGCCCTGCCAGCTAAACCCCTTTCTCTGAGTTTTCAGTTGGCTTGCAGGTTTATCCTAGGAGAAGATCTGATTACATGATGTGAGTCAAAGAAGGACCGATTTTATTTTACTGTTATACAGCACAGAGACTGGCAAATTTTTTTAAAATAAAGGGCTGGACTGTAAATATTTTAAGTTTTACTAGTCACATGACCTGATCTTGGTCTCTGACATATTTTTTTTTCTATGACTCTTTAAAAATGTAAGGATTATTTTTCGCATGCTAGCCATATAAAATCGGGTGCTTGCCAAATGAGGCCATAGCTTGTAGTCCCCCTTGATATAGAAGAAAAGCAATTCTCAACTACTAACTCTCCTCTTTTTTTCAACTTTAAATAATTTCAGATAGAATAGGAATTAGAGGTTCAAAGGACTGTAAGGATGAGCGATCTAACTTTCCAAATGGGGAGCTCAAGGCTCAGGGGCCCTGAGTGACCTGCTTGGAGCAGAGAGACCAAACACTTGTCTCTCTTTTACCTTCCATTTTTGGAATACACTCAAATTTGAGGACTCCCTTTAAAATGAAGTATACTAGAGCCTTACTATATTCACAGCTTAAAGTATTTGCTTTACCAGATACTTTTTTTTTCACATTCTTTTATCATGTTCAAGAAATTCACACTCAGAACCAAGAAAAACTTACAATACTTTTAAACTAGTATTGAGATAGCATGGGGCTTGAGGAGGCTTAGAATTCTGTCTCCTAAATTCAGTAAACTGGACAGGATGGCTTCTGAGTCGAAGCCTGAATAGGGCTGCTGGGTAGAGGTGACCAGTTATATGACATTAATATTCAAAGCAAATAGACTTTGCTCCTTTCTCATTAAGTCCCTCTAGAACACACTGGGCTACCAAGCAAACACTTCACAGAAATGAGTCTAACCCGTCTATATTTTGTCCTATTACAGAAATATGGAATTAGGAATAGCACTTTAATGCCACTTCTCAGAGTTAATTAAAAAAAATTTTTTTTCTTATTCTTTGTACCTGAGTTTCTAGTTGTTTCCCACAGCATTTCTGATTAAAACCTGCTTTTATTATCAATGAAAAGATTCTCTAAACCAAAACAGATATAGTCAGATATTCAAAATGAACCTTCCCTAAATTTAGCACTTGAATTTTAAACTATTTCACCACCTTATATCAAAAAAGAAAAAAATCTTTCATGGGTCAATTCTGAATATAAAGTTTGAAATCCCTTGCATCTTTTAAAATACACTTATACAACAATTGAATATTTAATTAATATTATTAATCAATAATATTTATAAAATTTATAAAACTTATTTATAAAATTTATTTATAACATTTATAAAATTTTATCACTGATAAACCATGCATCATCCAAGTTGTTTAAGAAATGCCATCACAGGGGAGCCTGGCCGGCTCAGTCGGTGGAGTGCGCGACTGTGATCTCACGGGGTTGAGTTCGAGCCCCACGTTGAGTGTAGAGATAACTTAAAAATAAAATCTTAAAAAAAAAAAAGGAAAGAAATGCCATCACATATCAGCTCCTAAAAGATCACAACTGCATCAAACACAGATTTGTGAAAATTTTCATTTTATTTATTAAATTAATTTTTTTAAAGTAAACTCTCCGCCCAACATGGGGTTCAAACTCATGACCCCGAGATCAAGAGTCACGTGCTCTACTGACTGAGCCAGCCAGATGCCCCTGAGGTCATGTGTTTTTGCCACATCATGTCCTCATTTTTCAGGTAAGAGGAACTTGACTCCCTTAAGACTAAAAATTAAGGATGCCTTTCTCCATCATTAAAAAAGATTAAAGAAAAAAACTATTACTTCTTAATGATCCATAAGTGGCTCCAGATCTTCCTTTTATTCTACTGTATTTAAAAACTCTTCTTGAAGTTTCAATTTAAAGTCCTCTTTGATTCTCTGTAACAACTCTGGTTTAAAAATAACATCCAATGCAGTCATTGCCAAAGCTTTGGCGGTACGTAAAGTGTAGAACTGAGCTTCCTGTGATCCTAAAAGGTGGAGAAAATAAATGAAGAAACCTCCATATTTATTATAAATTACTGAACTGTTTTCAGGTTAGCTCTCGATACCAAACTGCCTCTCCAAATGCCCACCACAATACAGTATTTTCTGAGGTCATGTTAGATAATGAAATAACAATAGGCTAAATTACATGGGCAGCTATAACCACAAAAAGAGAGCATATGCCAACACGTTCACTTCTAAGAACACTTACCTGCAGCTTCCGTATACTGTTCTGTATGATTTAAGGCATCAGATCCAATGTAAAAATATGGATGAATCCCAGGAACCACAAAAGTAACATTTCCAAAATCAGTAGATCCTTGGAAAGGCACAACAATCCATGAATTTCTAATTGCTAGTCCAATGAACACCAGACCATACTTATCCAATCTCTACAGCACCTGACATGATTTACCACTCCTTTCCTTCTAGAAATTCTCTACTCCTTTGGCTTCCATGACTTGACTCTCTCCTGATTGTCTGGCTTTCTGTCTCCTCTAAATGACTTCCTCTGCCTGTCTCCTAAGTGCTGGTAATCCCTAGGGAGTCATCTTTGGGCATCTTCTCTGTGTACTTGAGCGACCTCAAAAACTCCTGTGTTTTCAATCACCTTTCAGATATTGACATCTTCTATATCTCCAACCTAGACATCTTTTGGGGGTTCTGGATTCAATAGGCTACTGAATAGCTCCCCTTAAAAGTCCTATAAGCACCTTAAACTTAACATACTAATAATATATACCAACATACCACACCCCAACCTGCTTTCTCCTGAACTCCTTATCTCAATAAATGACATTAATATCGCATTTCTACGGCCAACTCCTTTTGAGTCCACCTTGTCAACATCTATTATTATATTTTAGGAGAACACTCTAACATGCAAACATATTAGTAATGATGCTTTTAAAAGGAACAAAATCTAAAATAACCCTCAATACACTTATAACTATTTAAATTCTAATAGTTGCTTACTAAACAACTACTAGTAAACAACCGTAATAGTCACACCTCAAAAACTGGAATGCCCCCTTATAACTTGCTAGCCTGTCTACTGATGACTGAGAATGAATTAAAATTCTAGTTCTCCTTTAAGTAGCTTACTTAAAAATTAGAACTAAGCAAATTTAAACACTAGAAATATTTAGAATACAAAGGAAAAAGTATGCTGGCTATTTCTAAAAACAAATCTGCTCACTTAACACTTTACATTCACTGAAGAGTTCATTAGTTTCTTTCCCCTAACCATTAAGTTTGTGAAAAATATTATCAAAAACAAGAGCAATACCCCCACCTCCAAAGCTGCTAAACAAAACCATTTAACCAAAGATGATATTTTCCTTCCCCAAACAGCACAATATAGTATATATGAAGGAACCTAATTACCTGAAGAGCCATTCAACATTGCATCTTCTGAAATAAATTCTATTCCAAGTTTTTTTCCGTTTTCAATATAAGCTTTCCAGAGGCTCTTATTGGGAAGAACATTGTAATAATCATGTGCTCCACCTTTAATTTCTACCTAATAAGAAATTATAAAACAAATTTTGAAATAAAAAACTCATTCACTATCTAATTTTTAAACCAGCAAGAGGTTTAAGGGCACACTTTCCCTTCCAGATATAAACTCTCTCAAATATTTTACCTTTAAAAAATATGTATTTTCTATAATGAGACTTCCCTAGGACCCTATCTCCTAATGTGATGTATGTACCAAACCACACAATGTCACCTTGCTCTACTGGCCAGTGAGTCTCAACTTTAGTAACTTCAATAGGGTACAGGGGGAACCCAGGAATCTCCATGTAAACCAGCACCCCCACGTAATTCTGATGCAGGTGGTCCAAAAACCAGACACTGAGGAACACTGAGCCCTAGGCTGTAGCCTCTAAAAGAAAAAATTAAGCTTTACTCATACCCAAAATACAAGCCAACACTGACACCACTGCTTGGTCCAAAAGCTTTAAAGGTACCCTGAGAGAAAGATAGGAGGTTCACAATGAAGAAGGGTTGACTACGGTCGTCACTTATTATTTATTTATTTATATTTTAAAAGTAATCTCTACAGCCAACGTGGGGCTCAAACTCACAACCCCGAGATCAAGAGTTGCATGCTCTACCGACTGAGCCAGCCAGGCGCCCCTGAGTCCTCACTTATTAATTTCAGTATTTCAGTGTATGAAGATTTACAAGCAGTTTATAGGTGGCCAGTTAAGAGGATTTACAGATTTTGTTTTGATTAAATCCAAATGGGTAACAGTTCCTCAAACGAAAGGTAATGTCAATAACACTAGTAAAAGCCAATTATAAAATGGCAGGGTGGACATTTCTTCTATTCTTAGCCAATATCTAAGTTAGAAATAATGACCACCTGGTCATATATTACAAATCAGCCAATATATTAAAAATATAAGTAATTATATTACATTTAATATAATTTAATTTATATTTAAATATTAACTTATAATATATTATTAAATATAAAATTTATTATTTTATAATATATTAATTTAAATATTTAAAATATAATTTTTATATTATTATATAAAATTAACAATTTTTTCCTCTCTGGACATTTATACTGCCCGAGAATCACTGCTACTGTGAGACACCATTCACTCTCTGAGTAAGTCATACATCTCCAGTCTAATGAGAGCAGAAACAAGTAAGGGAGTAAGGATGAGAGCGAGGCCCTAACTCTTAACAAACACCTCATTTAATTCTCACAAGAACCCTAAGATAGATTATATTATCTCCATTTTTCAAGAGAAAATGGAGGCCTAAACATATGAAATAATAAGATAGTAATAATGTTTCCAAAAGTTACAAAATCAGCACCAATCCAGATCTTGACTCTCCAACTGGACTACAAGCTCCTCCCAGGGCAAGAATATGTAATATTCGCATTACACTGGATGCCCTGTATGACTGCTATAGATGTCACTGATTTTATGGTTCAAATGAACAAACTTTCCAGCAAGCCGTAAGTATTTATATCATTACTGCACATACCTATAACTTCACCAAAAATAGCTTTCGTTGATTTTGCCATAAAGTTCCCTTTATGGGAACTATACTGAGTAATTCTGAAAACATAACTGCCAATAAGGAAGGTTATAACTTGCAAAAAAGCAGGGATTCTAGTGCAGCCCTATGAAGAGTTATTCCAAGAACAGTGTAATAAGAGGACTGTAGTCCTCCCTATGTGGGCACTGAGTAAAATAAGTAAGAATTAAAGACCTTCACATCACCTATTCAGTCAATTGATTTTACATATTCAAAACACTGCCAAATGATAAAGGAGCAAGGTAGGTTCTAATCTAACTTAAAAAAAAAAAAGACTTATTTATTCATTTTAGAGAGGGAGAGCTCATGTGCGTGTGCACCTGCGGGGTGGGGGTGGGGCAGAGAGAATCTCAAGCAGATGCTGTGCTGAATGCAGAGCCCCGTGGAGCTCAATGTCACTCATGACCCTGAGATTATGACCTGAGCTGAAATCAAGAGTCTGATGCTTAACCAACTGAGCCACCCAGGCGCCCCAGGTTCTAATCTAACTTGGTAATATTCTAACTAAACAACCCCAGCCCACATATATACTTCTGATTATAACTTAGATTAACTCTTAAAAGTTCTTACTGTACACCCAGTAGCCAAAGCTGCAGCTCTGAAGCAATCTTCTGCCTTTTTGGTCAAAACTGGAAGTTCTTTCATTGAGGGTGCACGGAAGTAATAGATTAATTCAGAATAAGAGGGAATGATATTGGGTTTTACACCACCACTTTTTATTATGCCTATAAAAAGAACCAAATTACTGAAATTCAGCTTGGAGACCATTTCTTTAGGTTAAAATACACCTATAAAGTTTTCAGCCAGTATGTACATGAAGAAAAACAATTTAAATTTACTAGCTTCACAGATATACCAATCAAAGATTTTGATGTGTTGTACAAAAGTTTCTATACATAGGGTAATACTTTTTAGCTAATAGGAAAAAAAATTGTCTATATGTACTTTATTCTAAGGAATTTATATAATGTTAAGAAATTATGTTGCATGACTATAAAGAAACTGTTAAAAAACTTTTATAATTATCCAGCCTTCTGAAAGAGACGTTTATTTCAGTAGGCTTCACTACAGTTGTACATTTTGAAAAACTTTTGACCTAAGGGGGGAAAAAATGGTGTAAGGTTCTGTAATTACCCTCATACTTCCAGAATCCAATGAATATTTTAAGTGGCATTTAAATTATGGGAACATAATTTTTATATCAGCAAGAAACCAATGCAGGTCAAAGATCACTAAGCACTATTAACTGTCAAAACAAATGCGTTTATTTGGAACTACACTGAGAAGGAAGATTTAGCCATTCAAAGTAATAACTAAAATAGATATACAAAATCTAAATTTATATGACCTGCTTTCAAAAATATTATTTCTACATATTTCTCTTAAAAAAAAAACTAAGAAAATTGGTAAACGTACCACTATAAACTAATTTCAGCCTGTAACAAAATCAGGTAAAGAACAGATATTAAAGTGTAACAATATCCCATATCATGAGAAAATAAACTAAAAAATAAATTGGTACCTTCAAGATACTGTCGTTACATTAAGGTAACGCATAATTTATCGTTACATTAAGGTGATACGCATAACTTAAAAAGATGTTACTCAGGATTAACAGCACTTGAAAAAATAAAACCAGTAACCCTAACTGTTTTTAAATTGAGGAAATTATTTGCTACCATTAAAAGACAGTGAGGATAACTGGAAAATCAAGATTCAACTTTCAAATACCCACAGAAAGCATGTATGTCCTTACGTAAAACCATTATTTCTAATACTCAAAATGACCATTCCATTTACGCATAAATTCTCTTAATTGTCTTCTTACCCAACATATACAAACATCCTAGTATTCTGTCACATGAATTTTTGAAAATGTTTAAAAAGTTTGGAATATTCACATGAAGTACGTAAAATGTTTCCAATTTTTAAAACTCAAGCACTAATTACCTTGCACTGAAATATATTAAGCACCGTCTATTACACAAAATATCTGACATTCGTACCATGAACTCTCCAGGTTGGTTTCATTTGCTGTCTCAACACGGACAGATTGTTGTAAGCCAGGACAGCAGCATCTAATGCATTTACTCCTTCCCAGGGATATGCAGCAGCATGAGATGCTTTTCCGTAGTATTTCACAGTCACGCTAGGAAATCAAACATCATTTGGAATTACTCTTTTCAAAATCACTAAAGAAAATCCAGGTACTGTAATTAGAATTACCCAAAAAGTATTCAGAATTAATTCAGACTGCTGGAATTTTTATTCGCAAATCATTTGTAGAAATAATGTAACAATTTATGTACCTTAGTTATAGTTTACTGTTATGTAACAGTGACTGACACAACGATGGCATTCCCCAAAAGAGAGAGAAAAAGACAACTTTGCTCAGTCGACCTCCTGTGCGAATTAAATCTGTATACGACTCAAGTCAAACAAACATGCAATTCTGTGTTAGGTGCTGGAATTACAAAACAGTTGGCTCCTGTCTCCTCCTACATTGCATTGTGATAACTTCATATCAAAGGTCTGCAAAACTCAGATGATTCTGTCTTAAGGGTGGGAGAAGGTAAAGGAAAACCGCAATAGGTGGCAATTTGAAATGCGTTAAGACAGCCTCTGAATAGCACATTATACTCACAATATTGTAAGATACTCTAGCATTGTCCGTTGTTCCTAATATTTTATTAGTGTTCCAAAACACCTGTGTCACTAGTATCTCAAAATTTTATCAATTACTGTTGTTCTACTTCCAAACAGTTCTCATATCAATCTAACTACTCAGATACAATAAAAAAAATAAGGTTTAAGGAAAGGATTGCATATGAAATAGTTTATTTATAAACACGACTTGCTTAGACAACACTTTTTTTTTTTTTTTTTTAAGATTTTATTTATTTGCAAGAGAGAGAATGAGAGACAGAGAGCATGAGAGGGAGGAGGGTCAGCGGGAGAAGCAGACTCCCTGCTGAGCAGGGAGCC